AGGAGGTGTGTGGAGGAGGAGGTCAGAGTGTGTGGAGGAGGAGGTCAGAGTGTGTGGAGGAGGAGGTCAGAGTGTGTGGAGGAGAAGGAGGAGGAGGTCACAGTGTGCGGAGGTGGAGGAGAAGGAGGAAGTCAGAGTGTGGAGGTGATTGCAAAAAGGTTCTTTGATGGAAAGAAGCACTTGAACAAAACAAAAAACCTTATCCTCCACATTTAACGTTTTCCACGCTCTGCTCTGAGAGTTTGGGAGAGGTTTGTGGTGTGTTGTGTAGAGGTTTGTGGTGTGTTGTGTAGAGGTTTGTGGTGTGTTGTGTTGTGTAGAAATAAACAAAGGAGATTAATGTTATGTCTGAATTATATACACCTATATTTAGAATTTTTTTTTTTTTTTCAAATAGTTCTTACTGCTGTTGTTGTTTAAGGTTTTCAAATAATTTAATATGAAAAAAATAGCGTGAATGGATTTCTATGAAAGAAAATATTCGTATGATGTCCGGACCCCGATCTATTGTACTGATCACGTAAGTGGACCTCGTGCCAATGTAATTGGGGACCCCTGCAGTAGGACATATAAGAGAAGGTACAATAACCTTTATTCGTCGAAATAAGCATTTTCACCTCCTCCAACATAACAGTTTAAGGCCAAACCCCTGTTTGTTGTTCTCCTGTACGAACAACCTACTTCTAAAGCTGGTGACAGGCACATGAATACTGTAAGAATACTATAAATGAAGGGCCCTTGCCTCATGGTCATTATCGGGACAAAAGTATCACACGTGTCCAAAGGGAAGGAATTGAACACTTCAAGAAGAGAATGTGCCTCAGGCACTGACATTTGGAACACCAACATTCGTTTTTGAAAGAAAATGGAAATTCAGGTTTGAGGGATAAATAGGTTTTTGAGAGTAACAAGAATTAGCAGCAACCCGCTGTGTGTTTTTCTTGTTTATTTAAGAAATTTAAATTAAATTTAAATGGGCTATTGGCCAGAGCTAAGTAGAACTGACAGCAGCAACACTGGAGCTACTCTCTCTCATCAGCAGCATCCACACACAGAATTTATCAGAGCATTTTGTTTCTCTCAATGAGGTTCACAGATTTGTTTTACGCACGAGAGGAGAGAGGTGGAGAGAGGAGGAGAAAAGAGGAGAGCGCAGAGAGAGCACGAGGAGTGAGGAGGAAAGCGCAATGAGAAAGGTAAACTGTGATGTCACACACGCCTGGGATGTCACACGTGTGTGATGTCACAGACACTCTTGTGATGTCACACACATCTGTGATGTACGTCCATGACACAAATTCAGTTTTCATAATTTTATCACATTCCCCTAATCTTCTGTGGGGCACACACCTCCCACTCTCTGCCTTGAGTTGTCACTCTGCTGTGGCCGTGCCGCAGACATAAATCTGCCCATCCGCCCCTCCCCTCCTGCGCTCTCCATGGCTCTACATGCATCATGGGAAATGAAATGGGTTGTCTCTAAGTCCATTTGCTCAGAGCAGCAGTCTTAGTGCTCCCCTCATTTTACAAACCTCTCAATTCAACTCTGTTCCAATGTACCACCCCTGTAAGAGCAATGGTATACCCACTCCTCCTCTCTTCTCCTCTCCTGTGCTTTACATAAATATGTTTTAGGTTTGTTAACATGTGACTGAGGAGACCTGGAGAATATCAGTGTGCCTCCTCCTCAGTAGTAGTGCCTCAATCTCAGAACCAGTGTGCTTCTTTCAGCCTCTTAAGCACTTGATTTGTGTTTTCAAAAGGAGACAAATGGAAAAACTTTTTTCATGGATTTCCACTTTAAAAGTCATGTCTAAATCAGATAACAGTTAAAATACTTAAACATAGGAACACTTTGGATTAAGTCCACACAAAATATCAGATTATTAGGTGGAAATTAGTGTAACCGAACCCTAGCCCTAACCCACATTAGAAAGTGTCAGTTAGTAGGGCATTAGAGTTGTACATCTAACTAAGGACTATTAAGTGCTTAATAAATACAAATTAAGAAATAATTAACAGCTAACTTAGTTTGCTGTTAATTAGTGATGACTACTGTACATGACAATCATAGTAGTTCCAACGTGACTTTTGAAAAGCATGAACCTGTGAGACATATGTTGGTTTTTTAGGACTGAACAGCAGTTCTAATTGTATTCGAATCTTTTCAATTCCATGTATACGTGTTTCACAACAGCAGTTGTTTCAGAGGAGAAGGTTCTAGGTTTGAATTCCAGTAAGAACAGGGTCTTTCTGAGTGAAGTTTGCATGTTCTCCCATTGTCTCCTGTTTCCTCTAAGTGCAACGGTTTCCCCAACAACTAAAAACATTGAGGGAAATCCTCCTACTCTGTCCTGATCAAGAGCATCAACATATGGAGCTCCTGACAGAAGCTCTTGTGGCATTACTGGATTGATCAACCTTAATCCTACATTTAAATTGAATTTATTTATATATATTTATATGACCGATGTGGCAACATTGTGAGAAATACAAATGAATACTTTGACATCTACCCTGTTATATGTTATAATTAGAAGTCGTTGAAGTAGCAGCTCTATGTTTTAAGGCGGTAAAACCATTCACACGCACTTTATTCACTTTACTAATCCCTTTTCAAACCTGTTGGTTGTAGGTCTGAGTCCTGCTGTCAAAAGCCATGTATACACTGTACAATTCTGCTGCAGAGGACATCACACTGCAGGGGCAGGAGCAGGACTGAAGGGCTATGGGAAAACCAGAGAGAGAGACCTGAAAGAGACCAGAGAGAGACAGACGAGAGACCAGGGAGAGACCAGAGAGGGAGACCAGAGAGAAACGAGGAAGAGACCAGAGAGGGAGACCAGAGAGAGGGACCAGAGAGAAAGACCAGAGAAAGACCAGAGAAAGACCAGAGAAAGACCAGAGAAAGACCAGGGAGACTAGAGAGGGAGACCTGAGAGAGACAAAGGAGAGACCAGAGAGGGAGACCAGAAAGAAATCAGGTTGTGAGAAATACAAACAAATTTATTGAGTTTTAGCACGTTATATGTTATAATTAGAAGTCCTTTAAGTAGCAGCTCCATGTCTTAAGGCAGTAAAACCACTCACACACACTTTATTCACTTTTCTAACCACCTGAACTCATGACTGCTGAAGTGCGATCGCAGATATATCAAACCTGTTGGTTGTAGGTCTGAGCGCTGCTGCAGCTGTCAAAAGCCATACATACACTGTAAAATACTGCTGCAGAGGAAACCACACCGAGGGGCAGGAGCAGGGCTGAGGGCTACAGGAAAACCAGAGAGAGACCAGGGAGAGACCAGAAAAGGAGACCAGAGAGAGTGACCAGAGAGAGTCTGTAGGACTGTGGTCTTCCTATAGCCCTCATTCCTGCTTCTACAGGAGTCCTACAGATAGGCTATAGGAAGACCAGAGCGGGAGACCAGAGAAAGACCAGAAAGAGACCAGAGTGACCAGAGAGAGACCAGGGAAAGACCAGATAGAGACCAGAGACCAGGGAGAGACCAGAGATGGAGACCAGTCAGTGTCTGTTGGAGTTTCTCTGTCTGTAGCAGTGATATGCGGTCAATTATGGAAAGAAAAAAGATTAAAATGGAAGCAATAATACGTGGTCACTATTCATCAAGAAATGTGTGTGATTGTATTATTTCATTGTAACTTTGCCTTACTTTTCCCTCAAAATTTCTGATTTCCCCCGTATTTTTCTCATATTTGACAGTGGTGCCCTGGAGGCGAGTCTTATGTTGGTGACATAAATACTGGACTATGGTAAGGCTCAAAAATCACTTTTAAAGATGCTTTTTACATACTTTTGTATTTTGTATGAGCAAACAATGAAACATAAGCTGCTGTTGCCAAACAAATTGTGAGTAAGCCGCTCTGTAGGTCCTGCTGATATTTGTAAATCTGATTGGGATGAAGTCAGTGCCTCACCAATCACCACCCTCACCACATGCCTCTGTGTCTGTAGGAATATATCTGTCTGTAGGACTGTATCTGTAGGTAGGAATGTTTCTGTGTCTGTAGGACTGTATCTGTCTGTAGGGCTGTCTCTGTCTCTGTAGGACTGTATCTGTCTGTAGGGCTGTCTCTGTGTCTGTAGGTACGATTGTCTGTGTCTGTAGGTAGGACTGTCCCTGTGTCTGTAGGACTGTCTCTATAGGTAGGATTGTCTCTAGGTAGGACTGTATCTGTCTGTAGGACTGTCTTTGTGTCTGTAGGACTGTATCTGTCTCTGTAGGACTGTCTCTGTGTCTATAGGACTGTCTCTGTGTCTGTAGGACTGTGTCTGTAGGACTGTCCCTGTAGGACTGTCTCTGTCTGTCGGACTGTCTATGTGTCTGTAGGACTGTCTCTGTGTCTGTAGGCCTGTCTTTGTGTCTGTAGGACTGTCTATGTGTCTGTAGGACTGTCTCTGTGTCTGTGCCTGTAGGACTGTCTCTGTGTCTGTAGGACTGTCTATGTGTCTGTAGGACTGTCTCTGTGTATGTAGGATTGTCTATGTGTCTGTAGGACTGTCCCTGCAGGACTGTCTCTGTGTCTGTAGGACTGTCTCTGTGTCTGTAGGACTGTGTCTGTAGGACTGTCTCTGTGTCTGTAGGACTGTCTCTGTGTCTGTAGAACTGTCTCTGTAGGACTGTCTCTGTAGGACGGTCTCTGTGTCTGTAGAACTGTCTGTGTCTGTAGAACTGTCTCTGTAGGACTGTAGGACTGTCTCTGTGTCTGTAGGACTGTGTCTGTAGGACTGTCTCTGTAGGACTGTAGGACTGTCTCTGTGTCTGTAGGACTGTGTCTGTAGGACTGTCTCTGTGTCTGTAGGACTGTCTCTGTTGCTTGTAGCCCTGTCCCCAGTGCTTACAAAGACACATTATGTGAATATGAATCCATTAATTTAAATTGAACTCTTTATTTTAATTTTTTTCTTAAGACACAGCGAGTGTCGACACGTGACATAAATCTGCGGACAGCAGCAACAAAAAGCAGGTAAAGAGCTTTACCCAGAATGGCCCAGTTGGGGTGAGCTCTTCTGTTCCTACTTTGGTCCTGGGGGTCAGTGAAGGGCCACCCAGTGGGCTCTGGGCTGAGGCCATCTCCTTCTGCAAGAGACGTGTGTGTGAAGAGCAAGGCCAGCGGTGAGCACGGCAGAACATAGGGGGTACACAGGACCCTGGGGAAGACCAGAGAGGCCATACAGGGCAGTCCACAGGGGCCACACGGGGCAGAACACAGGGGCCACACGACCCCTGGGGAAGACTACAGGGGCCACACAGAAGGCAGGAGACAGGGACCACAGAGGGAAGAAGACGGGCCACACAGGGCACAGGGGAAGGCCAGAGAAGGGAAAACACCATAGCAAAGGAAGAGTTTGTCCAACCGTCTCAATCAGCAGTTGTTAAAACAGACTGCAGGGACCTGATGTCCATACAGTATATTATCAAAGACAGGGCGTGTGGCTACTTGACAAATGTTGTGCAATTTTTTTCTTTTATATAACATGGAAAACCAGCAGCTGAAAATATGAAACTCCACAGCCTTTAAGAACAAAGTCTCATTGGAAAATCAAACCGTTTTTCTAATGTTTTCACATAGATGATAATGGATAATTTTCAAAGCCACACTAACTAACGCCATGGCCCACTGGTTGAGGTCTTTACCCTTATTAGATAGATGGATAGATACTTTATTGATCCCCGTAGGAGAAATTCAGGTGTCCAGTAGCAGCAAAAAAAAAAAAAGCTAACAATAGTAATAATAAGCTACAGCCCTTCAGGTCACAGCAGCAGAGATGGAGAAGCCTCTGGGTGGAGGAGGATGGGTCACAGCAGCAGAGGTGGAACATCTGCTGGATGGAGCAGAAGAAGGTGTAGTAGCTGCTTGGTTTGGACCATTTTTTCTGCTGTAGTCCAAAGTAAAAGGCTTTATGCTTCTTTAGCATTATTCAAAAAGTTAGCATTCCTCCAGCGGACCCCTGTCTGATCCGCTTGGTTCGGAACACAAATCCTCTCCGCTCCGGTCTAGACCAGCGTAAAACCACAAACACTGCACTGCAGCGACATCTCGGGCAGAAAAAAAGCAATAAAAAGAAAACTTGTAAAGCACAAAACAACAACTGTTGCTGAACTAATCAAGACTTGCTGCCGTTTCCAGCGCATTCAAAAGTAAACCGAGAATCATTGTAATAAGGGGTTAGACCCGTCCTGATGAGCATGTAGATACGTGCTATTTATTATACTGTTATATGCTATTTTCAACAGGCCTTTTTTGCCAGACAGGAATATGTTTGAGAACAAAAATACCTTTAATCTGCAATCCCTCGTGAAGTGGGTTGACAATTTGTTCATTTGCTGACTCGTCAGATTGATTCAAATATCAAGAGAAGCAGATATAGCTGTGTTTTGCATTTCCTCAGACGCTTTTATCAGAGTCTTCTGCTACTGGACACCTGAATTTCTCCTACAGGGAATCAATAAAGTATCTATCTATCTATCTATCAAAAAAAAAAACCTTATCTTTGATAGCACTAATGATCTATTTTCTTTTGATTAGCAAAAAACAACGATAATCCCTCTCTCTGTAGTGTATGGTATAACAGGATAGCTTGGTTTGCCACGCCCCACTACAGCCACAGTTGGCCTTGGTTAGCCACACCACGCTCTAGCCTAATTGTTTTAAGCTTTTCCAAACACACTGCTGGCTGAGGGCTCTGCACCTGCCTCTGGACAGCCACTTCACGGTCAAGGCATTTAGTATTCTATTACATTAAAGAACACATACAATGCAGTCTTCACACAGGACCCACAAGAAAGTAATGTAGTATAAAGAAGTGTTGAAGTTTGCAGTGTAGAAGGTGAATAGGAAGGGAGCGAGGAGAGTCCACTTCGGAGCTCCTATGCTACAGGGGAGGACCTTAGCCTCACAGTGGAGCTGGGCTTCTCAAGGTGGGACAGTTTACGATGGAGAATGGAGATGACGGCGCCCTCCACTCTGATGCCAGGCCGATGGCATGAGATCCAAATTGCAGTTTCATAAAAGGGATGACAGTTACTCCAGTCCAGGATCTTCAGCCTCAGTCCTGGATCAACAGGCTGTCAGTCTTTAAGGGTGGATCCCTCTCTCAATATAGATCTCCCTGAGGTTTCTCACTTTTTTCCCACTGCCAGTGGTCATCCCACTCCATATGGACCAAGGGCTGCTATGTGTTTGCAATTAATGCATTTCCTGTGTTTGAACAGTTTGATTCAGTGATCTGTTGGTGAATCAACAAAATTGTAAAGTCCTCCGAGACGACTTCTGTTGTTATTTAGCGTGATACACAAATACATAGAATTGAATTTATTCAATTGAATTGAATTTGCATCAGCATCACCTCACATGAACAAAGATTGCAACAGATCTTCCATTTGCCTTTACAGCTCCTGTTCGTGAATACACACTGTATCATCCAAACAAACAACAAACACACTGTACATAGTCACTGGCTCTGCTCTTTCTCACACTGCATTCCTCCTCTATGTGCCTCTCGCTGCATTAACACTAGGATTCCCAGAAATCTGAAATTGCTAGAACTCCCAGAGACAGCTCCCATTCAAATAATGAAATTCAGAAAAAAACAAAAAGTTTTAGTTTTTTCACTGCTTTATAAAAAACTTAATTTGTACAGTTTTCATTAACCATTTTTTTGTGTATGCTAAAATTGGTTAATCTAAATGAAATACAGCAAAACTAACTTATGCAAGTAAACATTGTGTTGCTATGGTAACCAGCATTTGCTTGAGGTTGAGATTACTCTGAACCAGTCCAGGATCAGTCTATGATTGAGATAAATCTATGTACATAGTTACATAGACGTAAACTACATTTAGAAACAGAAAATGTCAAATAGTTTTGAAAACCAAAAACATACATAAGCAGAGTAATTCACTTCCAAGATGAACAGCATGACTGCTCTAGGAGTCCTAGTGTTAAGTTAAACATGTCTGCTGCAAGCTCTTCCATAGCCCTGAATAGAGCTCTCCTGAGGCAGAGCTCTCCTGAGGCAGAGCTCTCCTGAGGGAGAGCACTCCTGAGGCAGAGCTGTCCTGCAGGTACGTCCATACGTGGGGTCCTAAATGAGCGACAGGAGCCAGGGTCTGAAGCCGGCAGGAGCTGTCAGCGGCGTCTGTTAAGTATGATGAATCACTGCTCCCCTCCACCAATCAGAGCCCTGCCCTGCCCCCCGTCCCTCACCTCCAAGTAAATGATGGAGTTGGCGCATGCTGGGATGGCGAATGTGTGTGTGTGTTTCTGAGAGTGAGTGTGTGTGTGTGTGTGTGGGGGGGGTTCTGAGTGTGTGTGTGTGAGTGTGTGTGTGTGTGTGGGTTGTGCGTCTGGAGGCTGCGGTTGATATGGAGATTTAAGAACTCATCTTAGCAACGTCTTGTTCTGTTAGATTTGGTCCATGTTACGACACTGTTCTTGTGGTAAAAACAGTTCTGGGTTGTGTTTAGCTCCATCAAGATAGAGTGGACCTCCTTGAATCAAACAGTCTGAGGGTGTTTGACACCGGCTGGAGTTTGAGCATAAGAACCACAATAACAATGTCATCAGTACCTAAGAAAGTAGCTAAATAAATTCAAACTACTAGTTATCACAATAGCATATCCACTTTGAAATACCATCCATCCATCCATTTTCTACCCCTTAATCCATTTCTGGGTCAGGGGGTGGCAGAGATGCCACCTTGTACGCAGAGCACCAGCCCCCCACTGCAAGTGGTGAGTCCACGGGAGGATGGCTGCTTTATGACATAGCATTGGTCTTTCAGCGGGGGCTTCAGGCAAAGTGGGGTTAAGTGTCTTGCCCAAGGACAAAACAACAGCAGACATCAGTGGGAGTTGGTGGAGAAGGTCTTGTGGTGGGCTCGAACCCACGACCTCTAGGCCTACCAACTGAGCTACTGTCGCCCCAAATAATGATAAAAGTATCCTATGATAATTAAAGGGACATAAAGAATAGATACAAATTTGCAATTAAATGAGAGTTAACTATGACAATCATGTGATTAATCGTGATTTTACAAAATAACAGTTGGACAGCGCTAGCTAAAATGTTTTCTAATGAGACAAAAACGTCATGGTATGATCTCTTTCGGTTTGATCAGAAATTAAGCAAGTAAGTAATGTTTGTTTATATAGCACATTTTACAGACCATGGTCACCCAAAGCGCTTTACAATGTTCAGAGTTCAGATATTGTTCCAATCATTCCACACTCTGTGATGATGGAAGCGAGTTGCCGAACACACTGGCGCATCAGCCTCCAAACAACACCATTCATTCACTCTGATTTACATTCATGCCTATTGTACATATTTTTAGTGGTAGGGGAAACCGGAGCACCCGGAGGGAACCTATGCAGTCACGGGGAGAACATGCAAACTCCACTCAGAAAGGCCCTGTTCCGACCGGGATTTGAACCCAGGACCTTCTTGCTGAGAAGCGAGAGTGCTATCCACTCAGCCACCTTGCCTCCCATCTATATTAATTAAATGTTTTGTTTAACACCCACGCGCACGCACACATACACACACAAAGAAAGTATGAATGTTGATGTTGGCTGGGTTCCGCTTAGCTTGGTGAGACTCAGGCGGGCAGACTTTATATCTTATCTTATCTGTGGGGTGTATGTGTGTGTGTGTGTGTGTGTGTGTGTGTGTGTGTGTGTGTGTGTGTGTGTGGAGTGTGTGTGTTTATGGGTGTGGGTGTGTGTGTGTGTGGGTGTGTGTGTGTATGTGTGGGTATAGACCATAGACTGTAAACATCATAGTATAGTCCCCCCCCCTTGTGGATCAATAAAGTCTGTCTAAGTCTAGTCTTAAGGCCTGTGTACACTCGCACGGCGCTGGTTACGTTGGACCTACGCAGCCACAGCATGGATCTATAATAATAATAGGATAGGATATTAGATATAAGAATAATAGGATATTACTAGCTTATAGCTGTCCCACCTATGGGCGCAGGGGGCGCCCGTGGTACTGCAAACTAAATTCACGGGGGCTACCCAGAAAAAAGTCCCATAGAAATCAATGTAAATTAAAACAGCTCGACCTCAGATGACAGAGAACCTACAGCTTTCATAAAGATCGGATTCTGTGGGGATTTTAGTGTCCCATGCCATCCTGAACTTTTTTTCTTCTTAAATCCTTTGGTCCACACTTTACTGCCACAAACTCTGCTCCTTTCCTTCCCGCTCTGGCTCCACTCTTCCGCTCTGATTGGTCAGAGCGCGGCCGAGCCCCTCTGTGCGCGTGCATGAAAGCCACACACGCACGTTTGGCGCGATACATCATGGAAGATAATCCACTGCGCCAAACCGGGAGGACCAGACGATGCCCAAATATAGGCGAGTTCAGCTAATCTCCCGGTCTCCATGAAGTCCCATGCGCTACTGAGCACAAGCCATTCATTTGAATAGGGCACCATTTTGGATCACCAGGGCTTGAGCCACAGTGGCTCGTCCACTCGCGAGTTCCCCTTACAAAGTTTTGAAGAGAATGTTGTAATCCCACTTCCTCTTCAGAACAAAAACAATAGCGATGCTGTTTGAGAGCATTACATGTGTTTCTACTGTAGGTTTATGTGACAGTTCTATGGACACATTGTTTCAACTCATTTAAATGTGATGTTGTGAATAAAGACACAGTTCTTGTTGGAAACATTGTTATTATTAAATTGTATTCAGCACAAACAGCAAAACAATTAGTGGTAAATATCTGAGACAAACATGAACTATTTACAAGTTCAGGAGGAATGGAACAGACGCGATAAGCTATGAGTGCAGATTCAAACAAAGACAGGAACAGTGCAAAACAAACGACTGCACAATTTATAAGTTATCTATAAGTTAGATATGCAACAGAACTCTCGTTGGGTTGTAGGGTGTCCCAATACTTAAGGAGAAGAGGCAAGGGCCCTCAGACCCTAAAAACTACGCTTGAGCACAAGTGAGGTCTGGAGCTCACTCGCGAGGGTGATCCCATGATGCATTACGACAGTTTTTGGTAAAGTAGCTGTCGGGCGAAGCCGTGCCACAATGAAAGAACATGAAACACGAGTTTTTAATGCTTGTCTGTTTTAATGCCTCCCCTCTGTGTTCCTGGAGCTGGGCGGAGTGTCTGTAGTCCTGGTCCTGCCCATGGCTCAGCCCTCCACACCTGCAGCTCATCATCAGCCTCACCTGTTAAAAGCCTGGTTCACCCTTCATCATGTGTATGTGGGGTCAGTGACTCAGGCCCTAAGTACTAGATGGGAGGGATTTCTGCAAATTTATACAGATGGGTCTAAAGATCCAGAGACCAGAAAGACTGGAGTTGCATTTTATGTCCCAGAGTATGACATCCTGCAATTCAAAATACTCCCTGATGTCTCTGTGTTTACTGCAGAACTGATGGGAATAATTGCGGCCTTGCAATGGATAGAGCAAACTAGGCAAGAGAAAACCGTAGTATGTTCAGACTCAGCATCTGTCCTGGAATCTTTGGAGAGTGGTGGAGCTAATGCCAGGCCTGACCTCATCGCAGAGCTGCTGGCTATCTTGTTCAGAGTGGAGAGAGCTGGGGGGAGTGTAGGATTCTTGTGGGTGCCATCACATGTGGGGGTGTATGGGAATGAGACTGCTGACATGGCTGCAAAATGGGCGTTGAAGAGGGAGATAGAAGTCTATGTAGTCCCAGGAGTGCTTGAATGGAAGTCAACTATTAAGAGGTACACCTCAGCTGTCTGGCAGAAAATGTGGGAAAGCGACCTTAGGGGTCGCCATTACTTTGGTTTAAATCCATCAGTAAAACCAGTGTCAGTATATACGGGTAAAGACAGAAGAGCCGCTGTCATTCTGACCAGGCTGAGGTTGGGACACTGTGGCCTTGGGTAGGATTTAGTCAAAATCGGGAAACACCCGGATGGATTATGTCAACACTGCAAACAAGACCAAACTGTCAAACACGTTTTTATTGAGTGTCCGCTGTATAGATCTCAACGAGCAGAGCTATTTCAAACTGTTGCGTCCGTCCCTCAGAGTGATGTTACTCTGCAGACTCTGCTAAACCCTGCACAGGGCCAGGACTTCACTATAAGAGCGCTCGTGGACTTTCTTGTAGCCGTCGGGCTATTGTGGATGTAGTATTGTAGTGCTGGACTTGGACAAGAGAGGCAGCAATGTGCCTAGAGGCACCTAGTCTGCCGGAAATTATCCGAAGAAGAAGAAGAACACCATGTGCCAGATTGTCAGTAAAACTTACAAGACCCAGGTTCGTTTTTTTGGTCCAGACCTAGTCATCCAGCCCTGCTCAGTCCTGCCCAGCCACCACTGCTACCTGCTTGCACCTATTTTAGTAATAAATCTTGTAATCATTGTCTGCACACTTGATTCTCCAGTCATTACAACAGTTGGTGCCGTGTGTGTACTGGGTGCAGCTCTGACTGCAACCCCTCCGACCCAGAAATGTATTAAAGGGAAGAAAATGGATGGATGAATGGATAGCAGCCAGAGGCCGCTCCCACAGGAAAATGGTGAAAAACGTCTGTGCATGCATTGGCCAGCACGAGCCTGACAATGGTCATAATTTAACGAGTGCATTCAAAAGTCCACAGCGGCTAAACAAGGGTGGTCCAAAAAAAATGTCCCCCTCAGGAATGTAGCGATGACGCAAGAGCCGACTTTTGGACCAGGCTGTAAAGCTGTTCTCAAGAGGACAGAAACGCCTTAAGAATTCATTGGATAATTCTGTTTCCGGGTACTACACCATCGGCAAGGAGCTAGATTAAAAGCATATCAGCGCAGGTGCTAATGAACTCTTTTGGCCGGGACCCGCCCCCACTGTTATCAACAGACACAAACACGTCTGTCTCTCCACACCAGACAGACAACTGTTATGATATAATCAGATTCAGATTCATTTATTTGCCATTTGCAGTAAAACCACATTGGAAAAACTGTGCAAGACTACCCCGGTGTGCACCAGACACACACCAGAGCTCTTGCCACGGCGCCATCTTTACGGCGCCATGCGACAAATGTGTGCTACGTTCACAGCAGGAAAAGACTTGGTAGAAACAGAAGGAACAGACGACTCTTATGTCACACCCTACACACTTCCTCTTACAGAGAGGCCACATGAACACAGACCTGACATCATTCAATTAGTTTTGAGATTATATACTTACTTTATTATTCTTTATTTTAAACTTAATTCTTGTTTCTTAATTCTCTAACCGTATGCTAAAGTTGAAGATTTTAGACTTGCTTCTTTATCACGCTAAAGATAGAGATGTTATACTTGCTTCTTCATGATGCTAAAGTTAGAGATTTTACTTTATTTTAATATTGAGTTATCGTTCACTTATCTTCTGCTGTATGCTTTCCCCACTGTGGGACAAATAAAGAATCTCTTAATCTTTATTCACAGCAGGTCCATCCCCTTCAAAGATCTTACAACAGAAAGCTGTATTTACTTTGCAAAAGTGGACAACAATTATTTGACCCGTTCATGACAAATAATGCATACATCAACTTTAAATGTATTCACTCACACTGCTGCCTCTGCACCACTGAGGGACTCACAGCACCATCTACAGGCCAAGACCAGGACTGCTTCCTACTACACTCCATTACTGACAACTCTGTCTGCACACATCATCTCTGCTGCATGAGACTTTAGGGTGAGAACATGCAGAGGAAGAGGAGGAGGAGGAGCAGGAGCAGGGGCAGGAGAGGGCTACACCATCACTCAGCATGCAACAGGAGGGAGAGCTTACCCAGGATGGGGGCTAACCGGAATATGTCCGAGAGTCTGCTGTTGACCGGTTCGTACGGAGACTCCTCCAAGAAGTCATTTCCTGAGAAAAAAAACACATGTGAACTTTAAAGGAGACATATTCTGTAAAGTCAACTAGTCCTAATGTATATCAGCCACAGAGCTGGAGCTGTGTAACATCACACTCAGAGTACCTATCAGCCCTTAAAAAAAAAGTATTGTCCCTAAATTAGTTTTGGTCATTTGTGAAATTATGTTATTTTTGCGCCTGTTTTTCCAGATGGTAATTTCTGAATTTGGAAAAAGGCTAAGCACTTAAACTGTGGTAACAGAGGAAGTTACATGCTTTTTGTAATATGTTTAAACACACACAGTCAACATGAATAGAAATATCAAATAACAGTGACATTGTTTACCCTTCAGACATAACATATCACACCTAAAACATGAAATGACGAAGTAACTGTTCTCATTTTAATGTTTAATGGCCAAAAATAATGAATATTATCCGTTGTCCATGGTTGCACAGTACACGTCCAGCGAAAGGTCCAGCTGGGATCTATATCACCCCATTTATACAACAACAGATGTCCTGAGTCCTACGTATTTCATTGGTACATCTATAATGTCACCCAGGTAAAGCAATGACAGATAGATACATGCTATCATTAACTATTTTGCTCAAAATGTTATGCTTAACCTCTGTACCAAAGACCGGCTCTCGACACATTTTTTGGACCCCTCCCCCCAAAGGGGAATCTAACACTCATTTCATTCCTATGGGACAGTTTTAGCTTCATGGTCAGACATAAGAAACTAGGGGAATGCCCTCATTGGGTTTTTGCTTCAGTATGATGAGGCGATGATTCGAAGTGGCTATGATAAAGTACATTTAGGGGTCTTATTTTAATTTTCACTTGAGTCCGACTCCATCAAACACACCTGTCAGAGATACGCTTGTTTTTTAATGATTATGGTTTAAATGGCTGCAGTGCCACGCCCACAGGTGACATTTTACTGATAAACAAAGTACACATTTTCACCCCACATGATGAAAATGTATAACGAGAAGAAGTGGAGAAAGTAAAAGTATGAGGATATAATCTTTGGAGTACAAGGTTTTGGCAAATATGGCCAACTTGGTGTAGGGTCATGATTAGGGCAATATACAAGTGGGGCAAAAAAGTATTTAGTCAGCCACCGATGCAAGTTCTCCCACTTAAAATAATGACAGAGGTCTGTAATTTTCATCATAAGTACACTTCAACTGTGAGAGACAGAATGTGAAAAGAAAATCCAGGAATTCACATTGTAGGATTTTTTAAGAATTTATTTGTAAATTATGGTGGAAAATAAGTATTTGGTCACTTCAAACAAGGAAGATCTCTGGCTCTCACAGACCTGTAACTTCTTCTTTAAGAAGCCCTTCTGTCCTCCACTCGTTACCTGTATTAATGGCACCTGTTTGAACTCCTTATCTGTATAAAATATAGCCCAAATGTAGCCCACAACGATATTTCAACCACTGATAATCTCACTCGATCTGGGGCTCCACGCAAGATCTTATCCCGTGGGGTCAAAATGATCATGAGAATGATGATCAAAAATCCTAGAACCACACGGGGGACCTGGTGAATGACCTGTAGAGAGCTGGGACCAAAGTAACAAAGGTTACCATCAGTAACACACTACGACGACAGGGAATCAAATCCTGCAGTGCCAGACGTGTCCCCCTGCTGAAGCCAGTGCATGTCCAGGCCCGTCCCAAGTTTGCCAGAGAGCACATGGATGATACAGCAGAGGATTGGAAGAATGTCATGTGGTCAGGTGAAACCAAAGTAGAGTTTTTTGGTAAAAACTCAACTCGTCGTGTTTGGAGGAAGAAGAATACTTCCTGTTAAGGAAAGAATGAATGGGGCCATGTATCGTGAGATTTTGAGCCAAAACCTCCTTCCATTGACTTGAATTTGTGTTATTCACCGGTGACTGACTACTTTTTTGCCCCACTGTATATCATAGACAAAAATATCGCAAAAGTGAATTTAAAGATATGCTCTTTATTTCTTTTCTTTAGGATTTTTTTTTTTTCGTACATATTTCCAGTACACATAGTATTACAATGAGAGCAGGCAAGATGCCCATTCGTCAAATGCGTGCCTAAAAAGCCAATCACTGCTTTATTTGTACATTTCAGTAATTATTGAGCAAGCCTTTTTGGATCTGATCTTCCTGTGTTACTTGAATTTGATTTTTAATGTTTGTGAATGTTTTGCAAAGATGTGTGAAGCACTTAATAAAAAAATAAAAAGCTGCTTTTTTGATCAACACTGTCTCTATCTATAGATGCCCTGGTAAGCTAAACATTGCAGATAATTTTGTGTAAAAATTTGATTTTAAAGATATTGAGACACTATCATTATCAGGAGTTGGGAAATCAATATTGAGATATTTATTTTTACCCATATCTTTAAAACTAAGTTTCTATCACTGTTTTTATTCGCCCTGCTCGACGGATTACGCGGATTTTAACAGACTGTATCAAAAAGGATTACTGTCACTTTTAACAGGACTGTCTATCAGCCTTTTACCGGTAACCACTACACATCACCATGGACACCGATGCTCCCCCCGCGAACTCATACAAACAGATATACAAATCACAACTTGCTTCAATCCTCCCATCAAAACCAGTAAACACCATGACCCCCGAGGAACTTCAGCGCACTGTCACAGAACTATCCACCGAACTCATACATAAAGAGAAACTTCTGGAACATTTCATGGACATATCATTCAAACAGTCACAGCAAATATCCCTCTCCTTACTCAGACACTCACAACTCCACGACACAGCACTCTGGGATCCAATCGCCTGTCCTCACCCCTCATCATGCTCTACCCCGGTGCTTACCTCACGCTTCCCGGTTGCGGTTGCTCCTGTCCCTCCCGGTGCTCTTCCCTCCTCTACGGTCCCGGAGCCTGCTGCCCATACCCGGAGCGGCGCGGAGCAGAGGCCTGGAGGCCACACGACATCCACAGTGTCCTCTCGCCGCAGGTTGGTGGAGGAGGCTGTGCGCAGACGCTCGGGGAGCTTCCCACGCTCTAAAACAGCGCGGGGCTCTCCGGGTGTCAAGCAGGACCAACTGCGGGAAGCCCCGGGGGGATCTCTGTGCCCCGACGCGGCACCGGATACCCCCGGGAGCGCTGTCCCTGCTGTGGGAGGGTCCGTGTGCTCTGACGCAAGGGGAATCCCCAGAGACGGGACACGAAGCAGGTCCTACGCTGAGGTGGCCGCGGGGGGGCCTCTGCGCTCTGGCACGGTGCGGAGTCCTCCCGTAGTTGCTGCCTCGCCCGCGGGGGAGTCTTTGCGCTCAATTTCGGCGCGGAGCTCCCCCGCGGAGGCTGTCTCGCCTGCTGGAGGATCTCTCCGCCCGGTCCATGGCCCTCTCACAACCGCCCGCACTACCACCACCACCAACCCCGCTGCAGGGGCGCCGGCTCGGTCTCCGGCTCCATCCTCCTGCTCCACTGCGGCTCACGGGGCTCGCAGCAGCTCTGCTCCGGGCACTTCCCAACGCTCTACTGTCCCCTGCTCTCCCCCGGGCCCTACTCCAGTCACACCCCCCCCTCCACGGCCTCTGTTTGCACCAACTACACTCCTGGTGGGGGACTCTATCATCAAACACTGTTAGTTCTTCAATGCCATCACGCACTGCTTTACTGGAGCCACTGTCCCCACCATCCTCACGAAACTACCCGCACTTCTACAGACAGCACCCCCCACAATAACCCGGATCATAATACATGTTGGTACAAATGACACTTCACTTCGCCAAACTGAAACCACCAAACTCCATTTTAAGGACCTTTTTAACCTTTTATTGAAATCCGGCAAAAGTGTTTTTATCTCTGGCCCTCTGCCCACTTTGAACCGGGGCGTGGAACGTTTTAGCAGGATATTATCACTCAACACTTGGCTTCAAAACTCATCACAACAGCACAACTTTGGTTTTATTGACAATTTTAATCTGTTCTGGAACCGCCACCCCTTCTTCACACCCGATGGACTCCATATCAATAAACTCGGCACCCGGTACCTGATTTCAAACATCACCCACTCAGTCCAATCCCGTCCCCCGCACCTCTGACGATTCACCACCCCATCCCACATCATTCCTGCCCCTCTGGACTCCAACATCGGTCCCTGCTCCCCCCTCCAGCAAGGAATTTCAGTTCTGTCCAGACCCCGCCCCTACAGACCGTCCATTCTCCGGAAACCGTCCCTCAACACCCTCATCCCTGTTGCCCTTTGCTCCTCCACATCTTCTTCTCCCCTCATCACAAACAAAAATGACCCCCCATCTACCATTAGGTTTGCTCTTTTAAATGTACGCTCTCTTTTAAATAAGACTTTTACTGTAAACGATTTGATTTTAGAACACGAACTGGATGGTATGTTTTTAACTGAGACGTGGCTGGGTCCGGATGCTCCGGCTGTTCTTACAGAGGCTTCCCCTCCCGATTTTAGCTTTGCTTTTAAAACAAGAGAAGGAAAGAGAGGTGGCGGCACAGCCTCAATATGCAGTAACGCCCTGGCCACCAAACCTATTGTTTTTAACCAATACTCAAGTTTTGAGTATCACTCTCTTGTTTTTAGCAACCCCAAAATTTTAACAGTAATTATTTATAGGCCACCTAAAAAGTGCAGCCTTTTTATTCATGAATTCTCAGCGTTTTTATCACAGTTACACAATTCTTACAACATGATAATTTTAACCGGTGATTTTAACATACACATTGACAATCCCTCTGACAATTTTACCCTAGATTTCTTAGATGTTCTTAATTACATGGATTTTACCCAACACGTCAGACAGCCAACACACAACAGGGGACGCACCCTCGACCTGGTCATTACCTATGGCCTGACTGCGGATGTGTCCTCTGTTGTCGACTTGGCTGTCTCGGACCACTACTGTGTGTTTTTTAACATCACTGGTTTTATTCAGCGTGAGACCTCTGTGAGAACCGTGAGGAAGCGACATCTAACCCCTGAAGTGGCTGCAAATTTTATCGACATCCTAAACAACACTCCCCACTTGGTTTTACCTGCCCCCTGTGATTTTATAGCAAATGATTTTAACAGTAGACTTAGTTCCGCATTGGATCGCGAGAATGCTGTTCATTGATTATAGCTCTGCTTTTAATTGTCTTGTCCCAAGCATATTGGTTGAAAAACTAATGTCCCTTGGTCTGAATGTTGCCATGTGTAAATGGATTTTTAGCTTTTTAACTGACAGATCTCAGAGAGTAAAAATCAATGACTGTTTTTCAGATGTTGTTTCTGTGAGCACTGGTTCTCCTCAGGGATGTATTTTAAGTCCTTTGCTTTTTACTCTGTACACTCACGATTGTGTGTCCTCCTCTGACTCTAACTTGATCATCAAATACGCTGATGACACCACCATCATCGGTCTCATCAGTGACAATGATGATTCCTCTTATAGAGCAGAGATCGAACATGTTTTTCAGTGGAGTAAAGTAAACAATCTCCAGCTGAACACTGCAAAAACATGTGAACTTGTCTTTGACTTCAGTCGTAGCAGTTCTCACACTCCTGTTGTTATTGACAACTCCCAGGTGCAGATCGTAGAGGAGTGCAAGTTCCTGGGTTTAACTCTGTCTAACGACCTGAAATGGGTTAAAAATACTAACCGGGTTGTTAAGAAAGCACGTCAGCGGCTCTTCTTTTTGCGGAAACTTAGAGAATTTACCACTAACTCTAAGATTCTGCTTAACTTTTATCGCTGCACCATTGAGAGTTTACTTGTTGGTTCTGTGTCTGTGTGGTTTGGAAACATTACAGATAAAGAAAAGAGAGCTTTAAACAAGGTGCTCCGCTCTGCAAAGAGGACCGTGGGCTGTGAGCTTCCTGTTCTGGAGGTTCTTTACAAATCCAGACTTTTAAACAAAGCTCTTAAAATCATCAATGACTCTTCTGGCCACCCTGGGAAAGCCATGTTCCAGCTTCTTCCCTCTGGCAGAAGATATCAGTCGCTGAGATGCAGGACATCGCGCTATGCTAACAGCTTCTTTCCACAGGCTGTTAGGTGCCTAAACAGAGCACTTTAATTCCTGCTTTTACCCCTTGTATCGTTTTGTTGATCGGTGCCACAGTGTCAGCTGTTTTTTATTTTATTTTTTTTAAATTATTTTATATTCAGTGTATGTGTATTTTATATTACATTGTATCGTGCTTTTTATTCTGTCGGTGCACACAGAGTACCTTTTTTGCAAATGTATTCCAATGTAGTTTTTATACTGCACATGGCCAATAAATGAATCTGAATCTCAATCTGAAGTCGCTCCTTTAAAAACAAAAATCATAAAAACAAAATCTGTACCCCCATGGAGAAATGAGGAAGTACGAAAAATGAAACGAGAGTGCAGGGTGGCAGAACGAAGGTGGAGGAAAGATAAAATAACAATCAACTACGAACTATATAAAAGCAATCAAAAAGCATACAATAACACAATTAGAAATCATAAGAACAAATACTTTGCAAAGCTAATCACCCAAAATAAAAATAACCCAAAGGTCCTATTTTCAACCATCGACACCATTTTAAACCCTGATTTTAGCATGTCTCTTTTAACCCCCACAAACTCCCTCTGTGAGGATTTTGCAGTCCACTTCACGGGGAAGATAAACACAATCAGATGTAACATTTTATCCAACCGCACAACTGTTTTTAACACATCTGATTGTTTGTCTTCGCCAGAGGAAACACTGGACAGTTTTGTCCAGGTTGATGCTGAGATGCTTGATAAAGTTTTCTCCTCAGTGAGGCCCACCACATGTCTTTTAGATCCAGTCCCCACTCCATTTTTTAAGTCATTTTATGAATCTTTTAGAGAGGAGCTTTTAAACCTGATGAATTGCTCTCTGCAGACTGGGGTCTTTCCTGCAGCCTTCAAAGCGGCTGTGGTGAGACCCCTTCTGAAGAAGAGCGATTTAGATTTTAATGATTTTAACAACTACAGACCGGTATCCAACTTACCATTTTTAAGCAAAATTTTAGAAAAACTTGTTTTTACCCAGCTCAATGCCTTCTTAGATCAGCAACAAATTTTAGAGAAATTTCAATCAGGTTTTAGGGTGAACCACAGCACAGAGACTGCTCTTTTAAAGATTTTAAATGATTTTAGACTAAGTTATGATTCTAAAAAGGTGACCGTGTTGGTTCTACTGGATCTAAGCGCTGCCTTTGATACAGTAGACCACACCATTCTTTTATCCCGCCTGAAACACCTCGGCCTCTCTGGTGCTGTCCACAAATGGTTCACTTCTTATTTAACAGACAGATCCTTCATGGTAAGTTTGGATACCTGCTCCTCTCAGGTCCATAAAATCACATGTGGTGTGCCCCAGGGTTCCATTTTAGGTCCAGTCCTTTTTAACCTGTACATGCTCCCTCTTGGCGGTGTCGTCAGGAGACATGGAATTAACTTCCACAGCTATGCAGATGATACACAGCTGTACATCTCCATGTCTCCTGACGACACCAGGCCAATGGATGCTCTTTTTAACTGCATTTTAGACCTGAAATCCTGGATGGCAGAAAACTTTCTCCAGCTCAACCAGGACAAAACTGAGGTTTTAGTCATCGGCCCTGAGGCCCAGAGAGAGAAACTTTTACCAAAACTCCAATCACACTCTTTTAATCCATCATCACAAGTGAGAAACCTGGGCGTAATCTTTGACTCTGAGCTGACTTTTATTCCTCACATCAAGAACATCACAAAAATAGGTTTTTATAATCTAAAGAACATCGCCAGAGTCCGCCCCATTCTCTCTCGGGGCAACACGGAGACGCTGATGCATGCTTTTATCACCAGTCGCATTGACTACTGTAATGCCCTGCTCTCTGGTCTTCCCAAAAAGAACATTTCAGGTTTACAATTACTCCAAAACTCGGCCGCACGTGTCCTGACTAAGACCAGGGGGCGGGACCACATTACACCGGTTTTAAAATCGCTGCATTGGCTCCCCGTGTGTTTCAGGATCGATTTTAAGGTTCTTTTAATGGTTTTTAAATGTCTTAATGGTCTTGGGCCTTCTTATCTTTCAGATTTGCTTTTATCCTATGAACCTTCCCGGCCCCTGCGCTCCTCCGGCAGCAGACTTCTAACCATCCCCAAAGTCAGGACACACACTCACGGTGAGGCCTCTTTCCAGCACTACGGCCCCCGTCTCTGGAACAGTCTGCCGGAGGAGCTCAGGGCCGCAGAGAACGTTCATATTTTTAAAAGCAGGCTCAAGACACACCTTTTTAGATTAGCTTTTGATTAGTTTTTACTATTTCATTTTATATATTCTATTTATCTTCTATTATTTATTGTATTGCTATTGCTTTTATTCATGTATTGTGTGTTAGTTCATTTTAGTTTCATTTTAGTTTCACATTTTTGTGTTTTACATATTGTATTGTTATTGTATTGTTTTTAGTGTACCCAGTGTTTCCTCTGGAGGAGCCCTCTGCACTGGGAGCGGTGGTCGGCATGGCTGTGGGGGTCGGACTCTTGGACCTGGTGGGGGCCTGGGGCCTCGGTTTCGGGTCTCCTCTAGATCCTGTGTCGTCCCCTGTGGCTACAGGCGGCTCTCTGCTCCTGGTGCAGACGGCTCCTAGGATGACGCTTTTTCAACTGGTTGCATCCGAACCCTGCCAAGTCTCTCATCATTGTTTTACTTGTGTGTGTGTGTGTGTGTGTGTGTGTGTGTGTGTGTGTGTGTGTGTGTGTGTGTGTGTGTGTGTGTGTGTGTGTGTGTGTGTGTGTGTGTGTGTGTGTGTGTGTGTTGGTCTAAGTGGTATACACTGACAAATACCCTGAAATCTCACCTGGGCTAAGTGGACTTTTTGTATTAGACTGACACGGCCTGTGTCAGTCTAATTCAAGAGTTGCTTTTTTAGTTTTTCCAGTCTGAAACTCATTTTTTTTACCTGATATGAAAAAAATATGACTTTACTATACCTCTGGCATAATATACATGCATTATTTATTTTCTAAACATACTATTTACCTGAGTTTTTAGACTGTCAGTATATTCCCCTCACCTGACTTTTTGTGTGTGTGTATGCGCTCCTAGTGGTCAGATGACGTAACGTCATCCCACACACACACACAAAAATACACACAACCGGAAGAGGCTAGGCTTAACAATTTCCCCGCGAAGTCGTGGCGGGAAGATGCGGGATCTACAACTTGGTGCTAAATCGACAGGTGAGCATTATCCTAACATGTTTTACTTTGTGTTTACTATATTTTGCATGAAAATGTAAAGTCTAGAACCCAATGTGGTTTGTATTTAGTGGTAGCTGACATGGTTGGGCATGTTCTTGTAATGTACATGGTAATGGTAGTGGTAATGTAATGGTACATCTACACTATAGACTGCATCCGCTCGCACTGGACAAGCATTCGCTAAATTTCAGCGCTGTGAGTTTAGTAAATCAAAAGTCTTGCCCATCGATGCCCCAAAACACAGTAGAAGTGGCTAGCGCCGCTAGCTTAGCCCCGTTAGCATCGCTATGATGCTAACGCTATGAAGCTAGTGGCTTCTCGGCAGACTCTCTGTCTCCCAAGACATTACAGAGACTTCATATAACAGCTGTATGTGTTCAAGGAGGTGTGCCATTGCTTTATTTTATTTTTAATTATTTATTAGCAACGCTTGTTGACTAAAGACATAAGAGTATAGACACCGCATCAACTGCTACTGCCGAGCCGCGGGGCCGCCATCTTGGAGTTGTCAGGCGCCCGCGGGGCCGCCATCTTGGAGTTGTCAGGCGCAGTGAAGTGTTAGTGCTGATAACTCACTGAATACGTAATTTACTTTTAATTTTCATGCGCTTTTTTTCCTGTAAACTTCATACAAGTGATAGAGGACACATGGGTTGACCTGTATTTATATCCATTGTGGGCTGAACAGTAATGGGATATTCTGATATATGATAAATGTGATGTATGTTAGGGATATTATAGCTATAGATATTATATCAAATGTCAGATCCAGAGAATAGTAAACATCCTTGTCCATGTTTAAAATCTGTGTAGAGAGAGATCAGAAGCCTTGACTTTCTGGTACTGACAACTGGGCTTAACAAAATAAATGTGAATAAGAGGGTTACTTTTTGTTGAGCAGCTGTATAATTGATGGCCCTTTATGATTCATTTTTCAGAATAGAATAAGAATCACTACAAAATGTTAAATCATGTTTTTGAATGCAACTACTTGTTTTGCAATCCACGATATATCCATGATAAATTTGACTCTTATCTCTGGGTATCTAGGCTTTTAAACGCTAAAAGGATGCAGAGACGGAGGAATTTAAATTCAAAGCAAGATGCAAGGTTTCACATTGACACTGGAAAAGACAAAGCAGGACTTGATGTCAAATTCATCAGTGATTTCAAGGGTAAGCTACATCTCACAATGACTGTTATCTGAAAATTGAGCATTTTGCCTGACTATTCATCACTTTTTTTAGTGCTTCAACTAAGTATTTCACGACCTAATGAAAAACAATGAGAGTTCAAGGTTTGGTCCCCGTCCAAATGAACCACTTCCGGTCTCCCAAAAACCGAGATGAACTGTGCATTTCCTGCACACCGCGTTAGCTGTTACAGAAAGCCAGGATACACAAACAGGATAGCTCTGCTTTGACAACCGTCGTAATCTGTAATTGTCGTGACTTTTATTTAGATCCTTGTAAAGAGGTCCTTACATTCATGGGACTTTCCTGGTAATAAATGGTAAAAAAAATAATAATATATATATATATATATATATAATATATGTTTATTTGGGATGTCAAATTATCGCGTTAATGCACGTTTAATTACGTTTTCATTAACGCGTAAAAAATAATTAACGCAATTAACTGCCATGGACGTGTCAACTTTGTTGGTTGTACCCAAAGTAGAAGGTTGTGAGCAAGTCATACAGACCTTATAGCAGAGGCTCGGGGACCTGGTCCAGAAATCTAGGGACTCAAGAGCCAATGGAGAGTCAGGAACAAAATTCCAAATGTAGTGAACGGAAAACCATAGAGAGGGCGCCCACACAGACGGTTTAGGCTCAAATGTGAGTTTTAACTAATTTGGAATAAATGTCAAAAAATCTATGGCAGGGACATGTAGGAGCACTATAGGAAACATATTTAGGCAGTGTATAGTAAAAAAAAGTTGTTTTGTGGTGTTTAGTTACTCTTTCAAGTACATTTGTATTGTATAAATATGTGTCATTACATTTGAAAATTCTCATTTAACTTCAATTGGAGTGGATTTTGAAATAGAAAGTTAATAAAATGCCCGATTATCGAGAGTTAACTTCCACCATTAAATATTGCGATTATATAATAACAAATTAACGTTTGACAGCCCTAATATATATATATATATATTATATATTATTATATTTATAATATATATATATATTTATTTTTTCATTTTGGCCATACAATAGAGGGAGCCCCGCGTACCTGTGATTTACGCGTACACACTTTTGCGGAATCACTGACAAACTACGTCAATACAGGACAGCCGACTGACAGTACATACAGGGACCAAAAGTTAGGATGCTTTGGTCATGCAATGAGTTGTCGAGTCACTCTCAGCTGTGGTATGGGTCTGTTGACAGGCTCCCAGTCACCAGACTGTGGAGGCAATCCAGATGGTTTTTGATGAGTGGGGACCACAGAGTGAAGGTGAAAGGGCCACAAATGCTAAGCTCTCAGGGATTCTCCTTCAAGACGTTGGAAGACCTTTGTCACTCACTACCTCTTGAAGCTCATCAAGAGAATGCCAGAGTGTGCGAGCAGTAATCAGAGCAAAAGGTCTACTTTGAAGAACTTAGAACTTATAAGACATATTTTCAGTTGTTTCATACTTTTTTATTAAGTACATACTAATTCCACATGCGTTAATACATAGTGTAGTTGCCTTCAGTGTGAATCTACAATTTTCATAGTGAATCATGCACTATGAAATAAAAAACAAATCTTTGAATGAGAAGTGTGTCAAACTTTATTTTATTAAAGTTGTCAAACGGTTTCATTATTACTTCTCACCTTCAGATGGACGGAGGAGAAACGTATATGTTATTACACTTTAGATCTACCCACCATTATCAAGCTATACAAAGTCTTTAGCATATAGCTTAAACATACATGTTAAAAAAAAAACATAAAATGTTGTATTTTTATATTTTATTTTCATTTTTTTAGTGTGTGTATGTATGTAACATCTCTGTATTGCATTCTCTTCAAAAGATTTAATTTGTCCAACACATTGATTAAAACATTGTACTTAAATAAAGTGTTGTGCGACACCGTCCCTTATCCGAACCAAAAACAAACTACAGACAAACAATGCAGAATCAAGCTACAAAATCATTTTCTACATTTATTGAGAAGTAAAATTATAATTCTTTTTGTAAAGCTTATTTATATTCTTACCTTAAATAATTTTCCACTGGTTACCAGAACGGAGGTGCCAGTTTCCCAGTGCACTCCACATCAGCAGAAGCATCACTTACTACCCCTCACAGACAAGGCCCATCCCCCCAGCCACCTGTGCTCCCAAAGAGGGCACCAAGGAGAGCGCCAACCCACACCCTGCATCAAGCAGCAGACAGGCAACATGGACTTTATGACCGTCCGGACCAGGGCAGTCAGGGTGAGCACTGAGTCACAGAGCACCAGCCGGGTCATGTCCAAAGTGAAGCAGGACTGACAAATGAGGTGGTTTGACGATGGACTTGTAAACAATGAGGGGAATGACTCAAGGAGTTTCTGTTGGATTTTTTGTATTCTTAAAGTCTAACAAGATCCCAATAAAAGTGATCCTCAATAAATAATAAACTAAATATTCCAACTTTGAAACCACAAAAATTTATAACACCATAGATATTAGTTTCTCTCTTCAAAACTCTTTATTCTTGATTGTTTACACATGTAAGTATTTTTGGCCTCTTTCACAACTTGAAATTAGCTTTTCAGTGAACAAAGAGAGTACTCTCTAAGCCAACAGCTCTCAGTATGTAAAAGACGGCATTGTTTTCTATAGATGAGACAGCATGTTGTGTTCTGATTTGTCACAAAATGTTACTTAAAACAAGAATGATTGGACATACGAATAAAGGTTTTGGGGGCAAAAGAAGAAATAGAGAAAACACAATAAATATGTTGCCTTTATGTTTTGTGTGGCAGAATGCAGGGAAGCGCAGCATCAGCAGATCGGCGCTCCAGCCCCCAAACCCCAGCCTCCCCCTGTGGCACCGCGCTGCAGAGCTCTGTACCAAGTACATTGGTCAGGACACGATGTGATCAGCTTCGAAGTCAATGACGTCTTTGAATGCTCACGAGGTAAGTAGGTTTGACTACCATGGATTGAAAATCATTTTCATTTAAAGGGGTTCTCACCCCGCTCCTCGGAGCTTACGTCCACTCACTATTTCCTGTTCAAATCTGCCTCTAAAGGGCGTTGCCGGAGGACTAAAGGGGGCGTGAACGAGCCTGGGCGTTTACTTTGCTCTGGGCGGGGGCGGCTTGAGCGTAGGTCCATACTTCGGTGCCAGTGTTGCGCCAGATTCAAATATTCATAATGTAGTATACAGGTCGCAGCAGATGGCGCCGCACAGGACGGTTTTAGGCTGAAAGGTCTATGATCTATCTCTCTCTTGTCCCTCTCCCCTCCTGTCATTGCTTTGTGTCGTTTGTGGGTTTCGATGTTCTGTCGGTGTTATGTTGCTGTGGCACATTTGGTTTTGGGTTGGTTTGTTATTGAGGTGTTTCACTGTTTTGGTGTTTGTTTACCTTTGGGGAGGTCTTATATACGCGGATTGCTGCTTTTGTTCTTTTGTTTTGTTGTTGTTGTTGAGAGAGATCGTCCGACTTTCTGCCTAAAACCGGTCTGTGAGGGCATCTGCTGGCGACCTGTATTACTACATTTGATGTGAATTGCGCAACACTGGCACAGAAGTTGGGACCGCGTCAGCCGCCCCGCCCCAGAGCAATGGAAACGGCCCAGTATCGTTCACGCCCCCCTTTAGTCCTTCCAGGCTACGCCCATTTCGAGGAAAGATTTGAACCAGGAATTGTGAGTGACGTAAGCTACCGAGGAGCGGGGGTGGAGAACCACTTAATGAAAATGATTTCAATCATGGTAGTCAAACCTTACTTACCTTCTTTGAGCAGTTCTAAGACGGTCATTGGACTTCGAAGCTGATCTATCGGTTGTGTCTTCTGACCATTGTACTCGGGACGAGCTCAGCAGCGCGGTTATGCACAGGGGGGGCTGGGGTTTGGGGGGCTGGAGGATGGCCTCTGTCTGATTCTGCGCTTCCTCTGCTTTTCTGCCACACAAAACATAAAGGCATCATATTTATTGTGTCTGTCTCTTATTTCTTCTTTTGCCCCAAAACCTTTATGAATTGTCCAATTCATTCTTGTTTAAGTAACATTTTGGTGACAAATCTAACCACATACATGCTGTCTTCATCTATAGAAAACAATGCTGTCTTTTACCATACTGAGAGCTGATTGGCTAGAGAGTACTCTCTTTTTTCACTGAAAAAGCTTCTATTAAAGGTGTGAATGAGGCCCAAAAATCCCTTACTGTGAAAACGATCAATGGAAGTAAAGAGTTTTGAGAGAGAGAAACAATAACTATGGATTATTAAATTTTTTGTGGTTAAAAGTTTGGATATTTTAGTTTTATTATTTATTAGGATCACTTTTATTTGGGATTCTTGTTAACTTTAGCATACAATAAATCCAACAGTAACTCCATGAGTCATTCCCACTCATTGTTACTAAGTCCATCGACATAACCCACATCATGTGTCAGTCTGCCTTCACTTTGGGACATGTCCGGCTGGTGCTCCTGGGACTCAGTGCTACCCTGACAATGGCCCTTGGTCCGGGGACGCACCCAGAAGACCATGTTGCTGTGCTGCTGCTGATGTGGGTGAGGTTGGGCGTTCTCACTTGGTGCCTGCTTTTGGGAGCACGGGCTGGGGGGATGGCCTTGTCTGTGAGGGGGTAGAGTAATGTGATGCTTTCGGGGCTGAGTGTGTGTGGGCACTGGGAAACTTGGCACTCGTTCTGGTATACCTGGGGTGGAAAAATTAATTTAGAAAGAATATTAAAGAGATCTAAAAAAAAAGAATTATAATTTACTTCTCTAATTAAATGTGAAAATGATTTGTAGTTGGATTGCCTGTTGTTGTCTTGTGTTGTGTTGTTCGGAATAGGGACGGGAGTCTCACAACCACTTTATGTAGAGTACAATGTTAATCAATGTGATGGACAAATTAACTTTTGAAGAGATTGCAATACAGAGATGGTACTACATACACACACTAAATAAATGAAAAAAAAATATAAAAAAATACAAACATTTTATGAAGGGGGGTTTTTTTACAAGTATGTTTTAGCTATCTGCTTAAAGACTTTGTATAGTAGCTGTGATAAATGGGGGATAGTTTAGAAGGGTAGAACATATTACGTTTCCTACTTTCCATCTGAAGGTGAGAAGTATTAATGAAAGCCATTTGACACAATGTATAAAAAAAGTCTTGGACACACCTTCTCATTCAAAGATTTTGTTTTTATTTTCATATTTTCATTATTTTCACTATGATAATTGTTTTGTAGATTCACACTGGAACGCATTCAAACACTATGAATTAATCATGTGGAATTATGTATGTACTTAAGAAAAAAGTTTGAAAAGAACTGAAAATATGTTTACTATTCTAGTTCTTCAAAGTAGGCCCTTTTGCTCTGATGACTGCTTCGCTCACTCTTGGCATTCTCTTGGATGAGCTCTCAAGTGTAGTGATGAAAAAGGTCTCTCAATGTCTGAAGGAGAGCCCTGAGAGGCTTAGCATTTGTTGGCACTTTCACTCTTCCATCTGGGTCCACTCATCACAAACCATTGGATTGCCTCCACAGTCTGGGAATGTGGCGGACTGGTCAACTAGCCTTAACGGGCTGAGAGTGAATCTACAACTATTGAATGACAAAGCATCCAAACTTTTTCTGGTCTGTACTGTATATGTCTGTCTGTCTGTCTGGTCTTGGACGTAGTTCAGTGATTCTCAAAGTGTGGTACGCGTAAATCACTTGTCACGCGGCGGCTCCCTCTAGTGGGTATGCCAAAATGATAAAATTTAAATATATATTTATATTATATATATATAAATATTATATATTATATATTAATCTTAGGGCTGTCAAACGATTATTTTTGTGTTGATTAATCGGCATTGTAATGGTGAGTTAACTCACGATTAATCGCATTTTTAACTTCTATTTCAAATCCACTCCATTGAAGTTAATGAGATTTTCACTGTAATGGACACAGTTTTTAGTCATACCCCAAATGTAATTAAAGATAACTAAACACCAAAATCAACTTTTTTTTACTTATACACTGGCCTAAATATGTTTCCTATAGTGCTCACCTAATGTCTCTGGCCATATATTTGACATTTTAATCCAAAATAGTTAAAATCTCACTTTTGAGCCTAAAACCGTCTGTGTGGCGCCTCTCTATGGTTTTCCGTGTCACTACAATTTGGGAATTTTGTTCCTGGACTCTCATTGGCTCTTGAGTTCCCTAGTTTTCTGTGACGCAGGGTCTTCCCGAGCCTCTGCTATAAGTCTGTTTTGACTTGTCACAACCTTCTACTTTTGGGCTACAACCAACAAGGAGTTGACACGTAAATGGCAGTTAATGCGTTAATTATTTTTATTTACGGCCGTTATGAAAACGGTTAGTAACGTGAAAATAACGCTGTTTAATTTGAAAGCCTAATATATAGAGTATATATATTTTTTATATTATATATTATGATTGTTTTACTTTATTTAACCAGGAATGTCCATTGAGATTAAGGACCTCTTTTTCAAGGGATCTAAATAAAAGTCAATACTATTACATATTACTTGACTGTTGTCCAATAGAAGGCTATCCTGTTGTGTATTTCTTTGGTTTCTGTTACAGCTAACTCGGTGGTGCAGGAATAGTACAGTTTCATCTCTGGTTTTGGGAGACCGGAAGTGGCTCAGTTATGGGGACGGGGGACAATCTGAGATCTCATTTGGTTTTCTTTGGGTCGTGATAAATTAGTTGAAGCACTCCAAGCGGAGTTACCGATCTCTATACTACTGCTATAGAGATAGGTATGGGCTGGGGAGAGGAGGTCTGCCTTGGTTGATGGATGGCTGCGAGGGGAGGTCACTGGAGTACCAGGGGTTCGTCCAAGCAAGTGTGGCTGCTGCGTTTAAAGAGTCTGAACCGCCTGAAAAATCGTTTGGATCTCAGGTAACGGGTTTAGGCAACGTCTTTATGCAGGGGTAAAATGGTGTTAACCAAAGCATAATTGAGCGCCTTTTGGCAGTTGTCTGAGCTCCACTCCTTTCAGCCTGGTGATCAAGTGATGGCCTTTATGTCCTATTTATAATCATCAACATTACACGCAAAATATTACGGTTACGGTTCTTGAAAAACATCTGAACAAACTATTTGATTTGATGCCGAAGCGCAGGAAGAGGACACAGAGGTTGGTGGTCATGTCAACTATTGGAACATTTTCAATGTCAGTTTCAGTTCAGTTAAATAGTATGCCATTTTGCGCAATCATTGCGGCTAGGGCGTTTTCCTTCTTCTTGCTTGCCTATCACTTAGCGGTGTTGGCGTGTCCAGCATGCCGAATAACACGGGCAGAGGGTAAGGATCCTCACCACCACCGTGCTAAGCCACACCGGACAGCACATGGTAGAGAGCCTTTGGTCCCTGGGAGCGTATTAGACGGCTAAGGTTGCCCTGTTAAGGTGGATGGATGCCAGTCTTGTCGGCTTTCAGGGAAGGGGGACCGAGCGGCTACAAAGCAGTCATATCAGTTCAGGGACGTAACTGAAAGCAGCCAAGTCCGGCACTGAGTTACTTAACAACGCTTCTGAAGGATGACCCCCGCAAAGCTCCTGGCCCGGACCAAGTGTATCAGCCACTCTGAGACACTGCGCGAGTGAGCTAACTCCTGTGTTCACTGACATTTTCAACTCTCTTGCCCAGTCCTGCCAGTCCCGGACTGTCTTCAAATCCTCCATCATTGCCCAGCCCGAAGAAGCCAAGGATCACAGGGACTCAATGACTCACAGACCTGTAGCACTTACGCTGTCGTTCATGAAGTTCAATTTGAACGCCTGGTCCTCTCCATCTCAAGTCCCTCACCTTCCCCCGCCTGGACCCCTGCAGTTCGCCTAACGAGCCAACCAGGATTGTAGACAACGCCATCAACCTGGCCTCCACCACATCCTACAGCACTGGGACTCCACGGGTACCTACGCAAGGGTCCGTTCGTTGGTGCCTTCAGTCTGCCTTTCACACGATCCTGCCATCCCTGTCCAGGACATGCTTCCCAGATCAACTCTGCCCGTTTCCACCATGCAGGTGGATCACTAAACTTCCTGACAGACACAGGACAGCAGCTGAGTGCGTCTGGGGAAGAAGGTTCTCGGAATCTCGGATTTAAATAAGGAGCCCACAGGGCTGTGTTTTTCTCCCCTGGCTCTTTTCCCTGTACACCAAACCACTGCCACTACAGCCACGACTCTGTGAAGATGCCTCAAGGTTCGCGCGATGGACACCTCCTCATGGACTCAATCTCCAGAACGATGGAGTCGCCCTACAGGAGGGAGGTGGACGGACTGGTTTGTCCTGGGGCAGTTAGGGTTAAACAACCTTGAGCTGGAACGCCAGAAGACAGTGGAGATGATTGTGGACTTCAGGAAGAGCACCTGTCACCCCCCGCCCCACCTGCCGTGATGGACCTCTTCCCCTTCCGTTTCCTGGGGCACCCCATGTCACCAGGACCTCATGTGGGAGCTGACCATCAGCTCCCTCATCAAAGCCAGGCCAGCAGGGATGTACTCTGCAGCAGCTCAGGAAAGCCAGCTGCCTGCACAGATGTTTTTTTTTTATCTTGGGTAGCCAGTTCTACCAGGCCCATCATCGAGTCCAAGTCCTACACCTCCTCCGTCCGTGTGGTTCGCTGGGGAGCCACTGTCAGGGTCAACCAGAGGCTTACAGCGCATTTGTGCGCTCTGCAGAGGAGAGTGATTGGCCGAGCCTTCCATCGCTGCAGGACCTGTACGTCGCACCGAGCTCGAGGCGGGCTGGTCGTATCAAGCCGACCCCTCTCACCTGCACTTGGGGACTATTCCAACACTCCCTTAGGAAGGATGACTGCGGGTCCATCAGGATAGAACCTCCCGTCACAAGAACAGTTTCTTCCCCTCTGCTGTGCGACTCCTAGATCACTTCTTACTGTCCCCCCGCCCTTTATAAAGTCCCTTTACTGCCCACTCATACGTCCTTTACTTTCACTGTACTGCTGTCACCTAACATTGTGTGCGTGCACTTGTATCATTGTAAATAGTACGTTAACTCTATCTAAATTTTAAAGGTATTCCTTTAGCAGTGTTTTTTATTCTTTATTTTATTTTTTATTATTTTCTCGGACTGTTGCACTGAGCCGAAGCAATTTCCAAGTCCTGTGTCTGCACTGTTAATTACGTGGGCGAATAAAAGGATTTGGATTTGATATTAGTATGCAATAAATGCCCTACGAGGGTATCTGAACATTGGCCGTTGTCTCTTCCCCTTACTGTTTATGTTCCGGCTAGAGCGGATGTAGTCTTAACAAAGATAACAAAGTTATTTTTCCCAGTTCTTGTGCGCCGGCAATGGGAACAGAGAACAACAAAAGATCATTTGATCGCAACCATATGAACCAACATCTCTTTGTGTGAGGTAAAATGGCTGATGACTGTAAGATTCCAGGACCAAGCCTAATAAACAAAAGTGCACCCGTGTTTGCGCCAAACCCTCTGGTGGGGACATAAGAAGGCCATCGCCACCTCGAGGGATATATCCAGAGTGTGAGTCAGCTTTACAGTTTGTAATGAATGGAAATTTAAATTGTATCATTTTTTTTTAGTACAGTTTTTTTTAGTTTTTTCTTTCTCCATATTTAAGCACAGTGTGGTAATGTGAAAATGAGTAAATGTTACACTGGTCTAACAATATTAATATATACTTCGTAGGAATGAAACCTCTGCTGGTTCTTGATGAATACTTAGGCTTTAGCTACGCAACTGTTATAGTTGGTCTGTTTTTTTTGGTCGGTACTTGGAGAGGGAAAGTATTTTCTGAGGTGTGGTACATGGTGCAAAAAGTTTGAGAACCCTGACGTAGTGATGCAGCTGCCAATAGCTGCTACAGATTGGTGGAATTTCCTTTCTTTGTTGGTGTTAAGAAAAAGATGGACTGTTTACGTAGCTTGCTTGTAGGTTACGTGTTGGTTCTGATTCTGGAGGGTGTCCTTCCTCAAAGATGGAGGAGTTACCAGTCTCTTAGGTTCTTAGTTCTCTTGTGAGGGAAGGATGGAGCATGAAGTGAGATATCAGACGGATTTGTGCCGCCTTGTGGTTAATGCGGTCACTGTAATCGCTCTATTTGTCCGTGAGGGGAGAACGGCCCAAAGCTCAATATTTGGTACCACCTAAGATAATGATTCATTTTTTAGCAAATGCAAGTATTTTAATCGTTACCTATGTAATAAGTTCTCACGAATAGGTGCGTAGTCCATTGGACTTCGCTAGTGGGGAATAGCGCTCCGTGAACCACAGGTCACACGCCCGAGAGTTCCCCAAATAATTGTGCTCCCAATCACCAGCACCTCCTCTATAAGGCCCGCCCCTGCACTCCAGCCGCCACCCCCTCTTGACTCTGCCAAGCCGGGCT